GGGAGGCGGGGCCGGGTAGGGGCAGGATCTCCGACCTTGGGCCGCGGGATCCTGATCTCACCCCGAACGCAGGCTCCGGTCGGAGCTCCTAAACCGCGGGCAGCTGGGCGGCGAGCGTCCCAAGTTTTCCGTTCAAGCCTCGGTTCTGACTACCCCGCAGGGCTGGAGCTCAGGCAGCGGGCACCAGCTTCTGCGATGCCCGAGTGAGATCCCTAGCTTCCCCTCCTGAATCCAGAAGGCCGGTGCTCACTCCCCATCCCTAAACTCAGGCGGAAAGCTGGAGGGATTGACTCCACTCGAGCTCTCCAAGCCGGTGAGAGCAGCCTTCCTCCACTCAGGTGTGGCTGCCCTAAACTCCCAAGCCCTTCGGAGGACTCACGGGAAGCCTGGAAGAAAATTCCTGGGCTGGTCTCTTCTTGAGCTGTCTCATGGTTGTCTCAGATCTTGGGCTTGGGGGTGATCTCGCTGTGATCCCAGCTAGGGAGGGAGGCAGGACCCGCCCTCTGGCTTCCCTTCTACCGGATTGTAAACAAGGAGAGAGAGAGCATCCAGGCTCCAAAGGGAGGAGCCAGGAGCTTGGACCTCCCTATAACACAAGTGGTGACTGCGCCCATATTTATCCTGACAACTTTTGGGCTGGGGTTTGGCTCAGTGGTAATCGTTATTGCCTGGCATGGGCAAGGCCCTGTGTCTGCTCCCCAGAGCCCACATGCAAAAAAAACTATCTTGACAGCTCGGCCAGGGAGAGCCAGCACCTAGAAAAGCAAAGTTCTCTCTTGTCAAGAGAGTTGGGGGTGTCAGCATAGTTTGGGGCTACGGTGACTGGCTGTGACCTCAGGAGTTGCGGAGGTTTGTTTTGTTTTGTTTTTGGTACCGGGGATCGAACTCGCACCCTTTTGAGGCAGGCATCGGAACCACTGAGCTAAACCCCAGCCTGGTTGCTGAGATCTTGTATTTCCCTTAGGCTCAAAGGAAATAAGCAGTCATTTGCATAGTTTCTGCTTGCCGAAGAACTCATTAAAGGTCTTTTCTGCACTGTCTTGTCAAATTTTCTGAGCGATATACTTTTGTTTGCTAGAAAGTGTTTATCTCAGGATTTCACTGTGCAGTTCAGGTTGACCTTGCAGTTTCTACACAGTCCAGGCTGGCCCTGAACGCATGATCCTCCTGCTTCAGCCTCCTGTGTGCTGGTCTTACAAGCATGTGCCACCACCTGGCAGGAGAGATGGTTTTCATTTCTACTTTTTTGCTTAAGGGGTTTAGGGAGGTATCCTAGATACCTGGGATTGGCCCTGGGATTGTGTGATTTCCAGGATTTGGGACCCTTGAAAGGATAAAGTAACTTGGTCCACACGTGTTTCACTGTTATTTGGCAGAGGACCGGACTCAGCATCCTGAGAATGCTAAGCAAGCACTGTACTGCTGAGTCACATCCCCAGCGCCCAGTTTTATTTTCGAGACAAGGTCTTGCTAAGTTGTTTGGGCTGACCTCAAACTTGCAATCCTCCTGCCTCAGCTTCCCAGGTAATTGGGATGTCAGGCATGTGCTGAAGCACCTGGTAGATTTATTACTGTTCTTGTCAAGTACCCCTTCTCCAGGTGTGGTTTGTGAGCCTGTCCTCTGGTTGGGCATGAATTCAGAGGTCACCCTTCAGGTATTTGTCCAGAGAAAATTGGAATATGGGCTCTGCTGTGTGATTCTACCTGGATGCTAGAGTTGGGATTCTCCCAGGGGGCTTGAATATTCCTTCTCTCCCCCACAAACCTGCAACAGGGATGTTGATGGAATGTTCTGATAGCCTCTGTGACAAACACTTTCTAAGCATCGGGCCCCCCTCTGCTGCCATAGGAGAGGACTATCATTCCACTTTGCAGGGAGGGAAACCGAGGCTCAGAGAGGTTGAATATCATGTCTGAGTTGCTGAGCGGCAGGGTTGGGGATCAACTCAAAGCCACACTCAAGACCTCTGAGAAGTACCACTGCATACAGCCACAAAATGTTGCTGAGTTTCTTTTTTCCTCAGATCTCTCAAAGCGCTTCCTGGGCTGTAGCGCAGGGCTGAGGACGGGCAGGGGCCTCTGGGGGGGAGCAGGTCCAGTCCTGACCGCCTCTTCTATTCCATAGAGACGGAGCGGCTCCTGACCCCCAGCCTCGGGTATGGGACCCAAGTGGGGGCTCCCCCGGCCCCTCCGACACCTCTAGAAGAGGAAGACCTCCGCCGCCGGCTCAAGTACTTTTTCATGAGTCCTTGTGACAAGTTCCGGGCCAAGGGCCGCAAGCCGTGCAAGCTGATGCTGCAGGTGGTCAAGATCCTGGTGGTCACCGTGCAGGTGAGACCCGCCTGACCCCTTACACCACTTAATAACGGGCCAGTGGCCAAGCCACCTGAGATCGCCTGTGCAGCAGTTCCTTTTACGCTGTCAGAGGCCCCAGAGGTCCTGGCAGTGCTCTTGCCTCATTGGAGCCCGAGACGTTAAGGGATTTGTCCGGTCGCACAGCAACTGACACAGGGTGGTGGGAACGGAAGCTACAGTCTGGTGTCACATACACCGTCCAAAGGAACTGACCCAGAGCTGAGCTGGACGATCGTCCCTTAGCCATGCCGGACCCAGCACGGGCTCTGGAGGCCCTGAGATGAATCACATTCAGTCCCTGGCCAAAGGCTGAGACTTTAGGCCTCTGCCCCTCTAATTTCTCCCCTCCGCAGAGGGCCCAATAATGGCTCTGACCCTGAGGTGTGGCTTTGGCACAGAACCTGCGTCCGAGAACAGTGCAACGCCACCTTCACTGTGCCTGTGAGGTGTTCGTGCCCTCTTGGGGCCCGGCACAGGGCTCATCCTGGGCATGGGCTTTTCCCACATCAAGCAGAGGAGTGCCCAGGTCCCCGCCCCACTGGGGACACCTTCGGGCCTCTCCTCTTCGTGCACTTGTGTGCCGGGGGAGGCCCCGGCCTGGCAGAGCCAACCTCCCTGGCCCTTTCTCCAGCTCATCCTGTTCGGGCTCAGCAACCAGCTGGTGGTAACCTTCCGGGAAGAGAACACCATCGCCTTCCGCCACCTCTTCCTGCTGGGCTACTCGGATGGGGCGGACGACACCCTGGCAGCCTACACGCGGGACCAGCTGTACCAGGCCATCTTCTACGCTGTGGACCAGGTGAGGCTGGCGGCACGGGGGCACATGTGACGAGAGCCAGTGGGGCTCACGGGCCCTCTCTTTCCCCCCACAGTACCTGATGCTGCCTGAGGTGTCGCTGGGCCGCTATGCCTACGTCCGGGGTGGGGGTGGCCCATGGGCCAACGGCTCGGCCCTGGCTCTGTGCCAGCGGTATTACCACCGAGGCCACGTGGACCCGGCCAATGACACCTTTGACATTGACCCC